CCTTGCATTAGCTAATAAAATGGGCCACTTCTACGCTAAAAATAGTAATTTACTAATTGAATCGCCACCTCATTTTTACAAAGAGCAAGTCGCTTTCCAGTAATTTAGATTTTCCATATCTAGGAAACACGTTTCCTCATAATTTAGTAATTAACTTTACGTTATTGTAAATATAGATAGAACGCTTCGAATGTCACCATGACAACAGCAATACTAACAGCTCATTTATTAATTGTTGCTACGTATTCTCGATGGGAAAAACTTTTACTTTACGTATTAAAAAGACGCATTACTGAAATTGTCAGTTTACTGTACGGTCGGGTCGGTATGAATTTAAAGTTGAGTCGCGGCTGTATACTTTTCATTGAACCACTAGTGAAGCTTTCTTCTCTCTTCGGATTAGTGCCTTTTTACAACTTCAAAACTCGCAATCTTACGTATGTCAAATTCTTTAAGTGCTATTCGATACTCCTAGCATGCCTGATTCTCGTCCTATCGATCGGTCAGCTACATTTACGTTTTTTGTATATGTATACTAGTGCCAGTAGAAACTTCGTGGTATTGGACGTCCTACTGGAAGTTTTTGGTTTTCTCTCCCTTGAGGTCTCGATTTTAGGATCTTCGCTTTGGAACTTGACAACTTGGCAGAAGTTATTCCAACTCCTACATCGTATAGAAGACGAACAGAATTTGGACGTTAAACCGAAAAGAAGCAGTAGTGTTTTCGTGAACGCTAATTTTATATTCTTCACCGGAACTGTCGTCCTATTTGTTTTATATGGTTACGAATTTTACTATCACTCTGATAGAAAGTCCGTTAATTATTTTTATTTGTCCGATATAATTTATTATTTCACAGAATTTGTCCAAATCAACATAATTGGTAACGTAGCACTATCAATTAAATGCAAATATAGAAACATTCGAAATATATTCGATAATATTGGCTTTGATTCCCCTGAAAATATAATTGATAATCTAAGGAAGGTCAAGGTGCTACTCTTGACAACCAACAAAATCGTCGCTACATTCAATAGACTGTTTGGACTACCTGTTCTTTTGAAACTTGCTCATACTACAATAATGGTATTATTATCGTCTCTGATTTTATTCTCATCGACTCCAATAAAAATAAATGGCGTAAACTACCAAAACACCCCGGAAGTGATTGGGATAAACATTGGATATGTCTTCCTAGCAAATGTAAGTATGCCTTCATCATAACAGATCGAATCAAACACTCTCTCTTTTGTAGTTATGGTCTGTAGCGATCATATTTTGCTGCGACGCAGCTGTAGAAGAGTCCAATAATCTGCTGGTAACTTGCTACAGATTGGAACTGTTACTCCCTCTCTTTTCCAAGGAAATGGAAGAGCTAAAATCTGTGGAAAATATTATAGTCCAAATCTCCTAAGTTCACTGCTGCAGGTTTCTTTGAAATCAACAGACCCACGTTGCTGTCTCTTCTCAGTACCGTCACTACTTACTTTATAGTTTCTATTCAATTCAATTCTCTGTAGAATCATTTGTTCAAAATTAACCGAACACAAAATGTAATAAATTGAGTTCAGCACAGGGTTTAAAGTGTATTTTCCATTAAAATTACATTGTGCTTAATCTAGATAGTTTTGAAAATATACCTACTGTATTTTATAAATTTGGAATTTCCTTTTAACCCGACATAGAACTCAACGAAGTAAGCACGTTTTTCAAATCACTCTCAAATATATCCGAAAAGAATCGGTCAAGGGGTTAATTTAATGAATTTCAATTTGCACAACTAGACATATTTCACATTAAGAAATAAATAATTTTGTTTCTAGTGTACTAGACACAATCGCAATTGATTCGAAACAATGAATTGTGAACCTATGTAAGCATGCATCTGTATGTTGAAAACTATTTTGGATTGCTCTAGGAACAAAACTAATAATTACTACAATACAGGGTGTGGCGTGTATAAAATATAAAAATTAAACTACAGCTTCCTGTGATATTTGTAATAGAAAACTCTTACACGAAAAAGTTCTATCTTCGCGTTTTTTTTGTAAATTAAAGTTCATTTATTCAACGAAAATTAAGGCCGACCCTGTGTTATTTATTAAAAACTTTGGAAATGTTTTTTAGATGCAACCTTATAATTTAAGTCGGTATAATCTAATACTAGTAATACTAAAAGAAGGTTAGGTTACATTGTCAAAAAATTTGTGCAGTCAACTGATTTTGTATTTGTACGGAATTCATTATTCACCTAATTATATTAAGCATCGTCCATCGACCCATCAGTGTTAAAAAGTGAAAGATTCCAGACAAAAGTTTTTATTTTGTAATTGCACGATAGCGACAGTGTAATTTTTATAAAGAAGTAAAAAATAAGAATAGCGTGCCGATTACAATAAAATCGAGATTCTTATTTCTTACTTTGCTTAATTTTTTAATTTGTGCACAAACTAGTTCTACAATGAACCCAGAAAACAATGCATTTACTATTTCCGAACGTGTCGATATGGTGTTAGTGTATGGTGCAGCCGGAGAAAATGCGCTCGTGGCGACTAGGTTGTACCGGGAACGATGGCCACAACGTCACCCCCCCCATGTGCAAATACAATCCTACAGTGCGTTCAGCGGCTGCGAGATACGGGAAGTGTTATTCCTCGAGGAGAATGACGTAGTCAGCAAGTGAAACTTAATGTTGAAAATGCAGTGTTGGAAAATCTTAACGAAGACCCCACAATTAGTACTCGACGACTCGCGCACAACAAGTAGGAACCTCATCTCGTATCGTACATCGCATCTTAAGACGCCAGCTGTTGCACCCCTATAATCTGCAACCAGTTCAACAGATTTTGCTCCCGGATTGTGATCAAGGAATGCGTATTTGCGGATGGCTTTTACGGCAATGTGCCAATCAAGTAGACTTTCCTGCTTATGCTTATGTACACTCACGCGATTAGGGAAACTCATTTTCAACATCGGTTCTCGGTAAATGTTTGAGCTGGCATAATAGGCGATGTACTTGTGGGTCCCTATTTATTTGAAGGACGACTAAATGAACCAACATATGCTGACTTTTTGGAGAACCGGTTGCCTGAATTATTGGACGATGTGGCATTACAAGTTCGGGCACGCATGTTTTATCTTCAAGATGGGGCTCCTCCACACAGTAATCGAGAAGTAACGACACTTTTGAATGAAATGTTCCCTCAGCGATGGATTGGACGCTGTGCCGTGGCCACCTCGGTCACCCGATCTAACTCCAATGAACTTTTATCTTTTGAGTCATTTGAAGTCATTGGTTTACAATACTCCAATTGCTACGGTGGAGAAATTGCGAAACCGTATACTTGAAGCTGCTGACACAAGAATACCTGGAATTTGGGAAAATATTCTATTCGCCAAAATTGGGTGCGTCGGTGCCATGCCTGTATCCGCGCTAATGGGGATCAATTTCAACAAAAATTGAGAAGTATCTTTCTATCTTTCAACGTCCATATATTAATGGAGTTTGTTTAGTCCACTAGTTTGTGAACTCTTTTGCAGTAACAACAATGCATTTAAGATAGTAATTACTATTAATTATTATAATAAGAAAATTTCAGTTTTCTTTTTAAATATCTATTTCTCTTACTTTGTACTTTTGTATTGAAAAATTGCCCAAAAATTGAGAAGTATCTTTCTATCTTTCAACGACGATTTGTTTACGCAGCTGGTCTACAGCACGTAACTTATCGTATAGCACACGGACAGGACCGTTCCAGAGAAAATATGTTGATTGAACTTTAATTTACGAAAAAAAAAAAACGCAAAAATAGAACAACTTCGTATTAGACTTTTCTATTACAAATATCGTTAGGAAGCTGTAGTTTAATTTTTATAGACTATACACGCCACACCCTGTATATGACACAGTTAACATTTTGCAAAACTCTTCGTTTTCATTCACACAAACTCCAGCTGTTTCACATATTGATGTGCGGTGTATGTGTATTTTTTATTTGTGAGATTTTTGTTTAGGCCAACGTATTTTCATATAAAAATAAATCTTGGCTGATCCTTTAGTATTATTTTTTTAAGTGGCAAAATACCAAAATTAAAAACAATAATAGGATGCTACAAAGAAATAATTACATACAACTCACGCATGATGCGGCGTCCAGTGACAATTTAGGTTCTAAACGTTACACTACATAAATTATAGTTTTATATTTACAATAATTATGAATTAATTAACATATTAGTACACAGGGAGTGTCACCAAAATGCTGCCATAGCATCGCAATTGTATCGTTTGTGATTTAATCTCGCTCTCGTAGGTTTGTTTATATTGTTCAATGTTCTTGAGGGACAGGACACTTACAGGAAAATCGAGGCGGACATGCTAGTCCTAGACCATCTAGAATACTTCAGATAGTAGATGTTTTAGATATCGAGCTAGTGCTTGTAGCTCATATAAAGTGTGGATTATTTTACGTGAAAATCAAATTTGTACACATGTGCAGTAAGTTCAAGCTCTAATATCTCAAGGCATTGGTGATAAAATCGAACATCTTTAGGATGGCATTTTTTATTTTCCTTACCTTTGAGTTTTCGAACAAATACAATTTGAAATATACTTTTTTGAGTTCGATGTCTTGTTAAAAGGAAAGTTTCAACTCAAAAAAATGTATATGGATTAAACCAATAGAAAATGTATAATATTCATTTAATGAACGGTATCTTAATTAAGATTTTTTAGAAACTTACTTAAAATTGATGTTGGTAATGCTGATTCAAGTTAACCATGGAAATTATACGGACGTATTAATTATTTGAATTTAACAAACGTGTTAGTGAATTAAAAGCGGCCTTTTCCCCGAGGTACCGCGCCTGGGTTTCCGGAAAGTCTGAAGAACGTGTCAAAAAACGAAAATACAAATGCATGGTGGCCTACTCTACAGTTCCAAAATAAAACATCAAACAGCGCATGACACTAAAAACGCTAATGTCTACAAATGCGGTACCTTTGTCAGCACGATGGATTGTGAGGGACGATGGATTCCCATAAACAGAATTGTTGAGGTCGCCACTGCCCCACATATCCTTCAAGTGGGTGGGAGTTTCCGTAGTAGTAGGCCTTGGAGACGTTGTCGGAGGTGATGAAGCTGCGACAAAAACATGTATCAATTTGCCTCGACTTTAGCAAGTTAGGTTACTTTAACAACTCCAAAAATGACAGTCTCCGTTTGTAAACTTATGCCCTATCTATTGATTACTCCGTCAAACCTAACACGTTTTTAATTCATCAATAAATAGAGCACTTCCGTACTAGGTGTCTCTAAAAGACCCACTATTACAACAAAGTTAACATTGAAATACTTCGCGTTGACACATTAACATTAAAGTAATCCAGTATTAAATATTTATTTTGTTGATAAAGATATAAATCATATTTTTATTCTGGTATTGCAATTTTACTTGTTTAGTTTTACAAGAGGACAGTGGTGTAACATAATTATTTTATCACAAAATTGGGGGCAAGTGTTTTTAATAAGACATTTTGTTTACTGGAGCTAAATACTGAAAGGGGCGTGAAAATTGGGATTATTTGTCTTTAGACATGCAGTACCAGTTTCTTAAAGCATACATGCTCAAGTAAAGATACAGGTTGTGACAAGTTCAATAAACACATAAAATGTCATGCAATTGTTATTTAAAATATTTGTAAATAGTGTTCCACTTAAGACAAGTTTTTTCGCAGCTGAGGTATTATCAATAATATCTCAAATAAAAGTTGCAACAAATTGTGTTGCCTAACCTCACCTTTTCAAGTGAACCCATCCTCTTTATTTTCAATTTTTGAATTTCGGGTTGAAATTAAGGCTCGCATTAATGAACAAATATTGAATCTAAGTCATACTGTTTCGGTAGAGTTTTCTTAAAAAAAAATATGTTTGTAGCTTCCTAGAAAATATCAAATTTCTTTGACATTAAACATTTCAAATGTAAAAATAGTAACTACGTCTGTTAAAGTACCTGATATTTTTTTAATAAAAATCTCTGTTACGTATAACACAGATATGCTCCTTTTACGATAAGTTTGCAATGACGTCACAGTGTGAATTGGTACAGCGTTGCCAGGTTGTAAATTTTTTCAGGATCTTTAAGAAAATTTATTTTCTATAGCGAATCCAGTTTATTAGAAATGTAGCCTAAAACCACAGGTCATATAGTCTATTTAAATAATTTAGAAAACAGTAAAAAGAATTAATAACAAAGTTTAAATATTGTTAATAATATTTAAAATACGGTTTGTCATTGATGTAACAATTACAACAGAACAGGAATTTAGTGTAATTAATTGCACTTAATTACTAAATGTGATGACATTGCAAACTTATCGTAAATAAACCATATATTAATTTCCTTTGGACTTTGATCACAGTTTTTCATTTTATTTTTTCTATTTTCGCGTTAAAAAATGGACACTATATTATAGTAGCATTTTCAATACCAAATTATGTTAAAACATTGAATTTCAAGATCTCATTGCACCATAACCCCATAACCTTATACCCCTAACCTTATACCCCTAACCCTATAACCCCGTAAGCCCCTAACCCCGTAAAATGTTATTGGAACTGGTTTGATCTCAAAAACTCACGCTCACTGATTGTACAATCAGGGAATTACTATTACGTTTTTCAATGTAGATACAAAAAGAAAAAACCCTGGGTGACTTTGTAGCACAAATCTGTATGTCCAGATAGAGGGTTATTAGGTTGTGGGGTTAAGAAAGCCCGTCAACTCACAGTGGTGTAGTTTCGGATCCCTTAGGTATGAAGTCCATGTTCCCATAATTTCAGAACTATGTATTCTGGCACACTTTGGGTTACGGGGTTTTGGGGTTATGGGGTTAGGAAGACCTGTTAACCCACAGTTACGTAGTTTTAGACCCCTAATATATGAGATCTATGTTCTCACATGATTCTATTCCCTCGCACATCCCGGGCCAGGGGGTTATGGGGTTAAGGGAGTTATGAAGCTACGGAGTTTGGGGTTAGGGTGTTATCAGATCATGAATTTGAATTCGAATCACTGACTGATCAATTCAGTTTGAAATCTCGAAAACCGCATTCTAGATGAGGGGTTTGATCTTAGGGTCAAAATATGAATCAGGGAATCAAAGTATTAAATTAATGAAAACATACAACATAATAATTGTTGGAAAGACATTCTCAAGATCTACAATAATTACACAAAATGTCATTTTATAATTCAGTATATTCTTTAAAATTCCCATCGACATTATCAATAATTTCGAGCATATCGTCTCAACAAGCTTACCTTTTTCGATTGTGCACACCTTGCATTATAGTGGAAGGCGAAGAATAAACTTTACTTTCTGTAAATCCCCACAAGATAAAGACTCAGGAATCTTGTTAGCTAGTTAAGGAGTTTCACTAAATCGATCTATGTGGAGAATATTGTGTTTTAAAATATTATTTTACTATTTTGGACTCGAAACAATGACGATTATGTGGTATTCATTTTTTAGCGCTGAAATAAAAATACATAAATTCGTGCTTAAAGTACTGATGAAAACCGCATCTTCTTGTCATGTTTAATTTTAATTTGATATTTTTATGAATGTCACCATTTTTTTTTAACATCAAAACTGTACGACTTAGACACAGTTGTTTATCAAAACAAGCCTTAAAAATAAAACGTGTTCCATTTGAAACTTACGTAACGTCCAGCAGAAATGAGACACCCTGTATATTCGGTGCGATATAATTCGACCGAGTCTCATTTGAGGCATTTTTTCTGTATTATTGATATTACCGGAGCCTTGACAAAAAGCAATGTTTTTCGTCATTCGTCAAAACATACTGGGAACCCTGCGGGTTGAAATCGAAGACTTTTTGTTTAATGTAAAGGCTTGGGAGGGGCTCGGACCCCCTCTTTCGCAGTCCTTCGCGGAATACTGCGAAATTCTGGCATCTGTAAATAAAGTGAGGTGCAAAACTCTAGCAGTGAGAACGGATTGTTGCATTTATTCGGTGATCGTGCCATGCCGAGAACATGCTTGAGATAACAATGTTAATATTGAATATGAGAGGAAGGGTGGAAGGGACCAGGAGCTCTCTTTTATTCGATAGGGCATTCGAAAACCTTCTCCAACCGCTTCGTTTGCATCAAGAGCTCCGCAGGACAGCCCGGTGGATATTTATTTGTACGTTTTGAATCTCGTACGAGTCTTGTCAGGGAGTTTCAAGTACTATAAAAAATTATTCTCGGAAAGTTTACTTATAAGTCTAGCCCATGGAAACGAACATAAATTCTAGTTGAACAAAAAGTTTTTAATTGTATTAGTCTTAAGAACAGTTAACATATTATTCGAAGATGTTGTCTCTTATACTACGAAATGCAATTATATTTGTCCTTTTATTTAAGTAAGAAAGTGTTTGTTAATGAGAAGTGAACATGAGGTTTAAGTTATTTTTGTACATAATGACTACGGTGCATTGCCTCAAATAACAATTATTGGAATGGCTGGCTGATATTCACCCTCTTAAGTAAATAAAAAATGGTTTCTTAATGATTATATTGTTCTGTTAATGTTAGTAATGTATTAATGTTAACGTTAAGTCTTACTCTTTTAACGATTAATGACTAAAGTCAAAGTGTTTGTTAATATATTTTTTTTTACATAATGACTGATGTGCACTGCCTCATATAATTACTGGAAGGATTGGCCGATATTTTCCCTCTTAAATCAGTAATAAAATTACTATTGATGGTTAATTAAGTCAATCAATGTAAGGTCTTAGTGTACGTTAATAAGATTTTTTAATATTAATGACTAATATGCACTGTCTCAAATAATAATTAATGCAGTAGTCAGCTGATAATTGTCATCTTAAATTAATAAAAATTGATTGTGTTAATGACTAAGGTCAATGTAAGGTCTTCGTGTTAATTAATAAGATTTTTTATATTAATGACTAATATGCACTGTTTCAAATAATAATTAATGCAGTGGGCAGCTGATATTTGTCATCTTAAATAAATAATAAAATGACTGTTAATGACTAAGGTCAATGTAAGGTCTTAGTGTTTGTTATTAAGATTTTTTAAAGTTAAGAACCGATGTGCACTGTCTCAAAAAATAATTAACGCAGTCGGAAGCTGATATTTGTCATTTTTAAATTAATAATAAAATTACTGTGTTAATCACTAAGGTCAATGTTAGGTCTTAGTGTTTGTTTATAAGATTTTTTATTAAGGACTAATATGTACTGTCTCAAATAATAATTAATGCAGTGGGCAGCTGACATTTGTCATCCTAAATTAATAATAAAATGACTGTGTTAATGACTAAGGTCAATGTAAGGTCTTAGTGTTTGTTAATAAGATTTTTTAACGTTAAGAACCAATGTGCACTGTCTCAAATAATAATTAACGCAGTCGGAAGCTGATATTTGTCATTTTTAAATTAATAATAAAATGACTGTGTTAATGACTACGGTCAATGTTAGGTCTTAGTGTTTGTTTATAAGATTTTTTATTAAGGACTAATATACTCTGTCTCAAATAATAATTAATGCAGTGGGCAGCTGACATTTGTCATCCTAAATTAATAATAAAATGACTGTGTTAATGACCAAGGTCAATGTAAGGACTTAGTGTTTGTTAATAAGATTTTTTAACGTTAACAACCTATGTGCACTGTCTCAAATAATAATTAACGCAGTGGGCAGCTTATATTTGTCATCTTAAATTAATAATAAAATGACTGTGTTAATGACTAAGGTTAATGTAAAGGTTTTAGTGTTTGTTAATAAGATTGTTTAATATTAAAGACTCACGTGTACTGCTTTAAATAATAATTAATGCAGTGGGCGGCTGATATTTGTCATCCTCAATTAATAATAAAATGACTGTTAATGACCAAGGTCAATGTAAGGTCTTAGTGTTTGTTCATAAGATTTTTTAATGTTAAAAACTAGTGTGCACTATCTGAAATAATAACTAATGCAGTGGGTAGCTGATGCTAGTCATCTTAAATTAATAATGAAATGACTGTGTTAATGACTAAGGTCAATGTAAGGTCTCAGTATCTGTTAATAAGATTTTTTCGTGTTAAAGCCTGCAATGTCTC